AAAAAAAAAAAGGAAAAAAAAAACAGAAACCACCTTCCCAGAAGAGTAAAGAAAACTTCGTTGTAATTAATCTTTTATTTAAAATTTAGTCAAAGTTTAGATGCCTTTATACTGACCAGAACACAATATTATGGGCATGGATAAGAAATAAGAGAGAGAGAGCTTGCTTTGATGGAACTTAGCCTACCTGGGGAGACCAGCAAGCAGGTATATAAAATGATGCTTTAGAATAGCATATTTGTGCAAAATTAGTTTAATTTGAATATATGTGTTGATAGGACACTGAGTGAAGGAGTCATCAGTGAGGTAAAGATGAAGGACAACTTACTGAAGGTGATGAATTTTGAACTATTCTTTTTTCCTCAAATTTTGTCTATTTTCTTTTTTAAATTTTCTTTCACTTAATAGTATTTTATTTTTTTCCAATTACATGCAAAGATAGTTGTCAACATTCCCTTTTTTATTAATTTATTTTGATTTATCAACAATCATTTCCATACGCTTAAATTTTTCTCCTCCTCCCTCCCCATCTCCTTCCCCAAGACAGCGTGCAATCTGATGTAGGCTATACATATACATTCCTATTAAACATATTTTCACATTAGTGATGTTGTAAGGAAGAATTAGAACCAATAGGAGGAACCACCAGAAAGAAGAAATAAAACACAACAGAAGAAAAAAAAATAGCAGATAGTGTGCTTCAATCTGCATTAAAACTCCATAGTTTGTTCTTTGCATGTCGGTAGCATTTTCCATCATAAGGCCTTTGGATATGTATTGCTGAGAATATTAGTCATCGCACATCATGGCTGTTACTGTGTACAGCATTCTCCTGGTTCTGCTCACTTCACTCAGCATCAGACCATGCAAGTCTTTCCATGTTTTCAACATTCACTTTTACAAGATTTTGAGTTCTAAATTTTTTCTCTCTCCCCTCCGCTCTCCCCAAGACGGCATGCAATCTGTTATAAGCTATACATGTACCATTATATTAAACATATTTCCACATTATTCATGCTGTGAAAGAAGAATCAGAACAAAAGGGAAAAACCACGAGAGAAAAAATAAAAACAAAACAAAAAAAAGAGAAAATAGTACGCTTCGATCTTCATTCAGATTCCGTAGTTCTTTCTCTGGATATAGATAGCTTTTTCCATCATGAGTCCCTTGGAATTGTCTTAGATCATTGTATTGCTGAGCAGAGCTAAATCTGTCAAAGTTGGTCATTGCACGATGTTGTTGTTACTATCTATAATGTTCTTCTGGTTCTGCTCACTTTACTCAGCATCAGTTCATTTAAGTCTTTCCAGGTTTTTCTGAAATCTGCCTACTCATATCATTTCTTATAGAATAATAGTATTCCATTACATTCATATACCACAACTTATTCAGCCATGCCCAT